ACACTGATCAACACTGGCCTCTTAACGTCTGGGAGCACAGAGGCAGGACACATATGCAAACACTCAGAGTCAGTCAGCTGCAGCCGTCCTCAACACATCACCAGGTTTCCTCCTCATCACTCACACATTATATTACATACACTTGTAAAGACCATGTATATCACGGCAGTCTTCAGTTTTCATTGACTCCTAGAAGTCTGAATTTTCTGTGATGGATTCATTGAAACACACGAGTCTTTGTCACAAACCCCCCCCCCAAGAAAACACTAACATGCATTTCATTCTTGTATGGATTTATTGTATGTCTTATGGTAATTTGACAAAAGCTGCAGGGTCATAAACTACATACAGTTATGGTAATATTTGTTAAAACACAGTGGCGGTTGGTGAAAAGTTTTGGTGGGGGGTTGCCACAGTCTGCAAGTGACCTTTTTTTTTTTTTTTTAAATCAGAAATCAGACACAACTATTTACAGGAATGCAAACTGTCTACCTTTGGACAATATTCTAGTAAAATAGAATAGAATAAAATAGAATAGAATAATATATTAATTTAATTCATTAATATATTGTATGTTAATAATTAACAATAGAATAGAATCATCATCAAATTTAACATTATCAAGACTTACCAGAAGTAATTTCAAAACCATTCATCAAACTTTCATCAGTATTTAGAGAATCTGTACAAACTCAAAACACGCAACATAAATAATGAAAAAAACACTGTTCCAAGCTTCAGACCAACTTTTGTGGCACCAGTACGACCCACTTTCTCCTTTTGTTGCACCTCCCACCTGGTGAAAGGCAGTCAAAATACATATGACTTGCTGAACATTTTCTTATCGATAGACGCTATAATTTACTGATGCTCCCTAAACGCCCCACATAGCAGGCTGCGGTAGCTGCTGTTTGGTGGCTGTGGTGCTCTGACACGTGTGTGACCAAAAATGACTTTAAAAATAATAAACTGGACGTTCTCATGTCACATTTGTCCGAGGTGACATGCATTCTGCACGCGGTCTTTTCTACGAGCAGTCTTTTCTCCATTGACAGCATGGCCGATGCATTAAGCCAGGGGTGTCCAATCCTGGTCCTCAAGGGCCACAGTCCTCCATGTTTTAGATGTTTCCCTCTTCCAACACACCTGATTCAAATGATCAGCTCATCATCAAGCTCTGCAGAAGCCTGATAACGATCCTGATCACCACGTGAGAAAGTCTGCAGCTGCCAATCAGAGCCCGGGCTGAGGTCACATGATCATGAAAAGTTTTTCAAGCTACATACACACTCATGTGGCCAGGGCCCCGCATCCAGGAAGTGTAAAATATGCAGTGAAGACTAATATTATATCTGTTAACAATATAAACATTGTTAATATAGCAAGAGAATATGAACGTTATTATGAATTCAATTATTGTTTTGATATAATTAATTCAAATTTAATTTCACATTTGAGAACTACTTTTTAACCCTAACCCTAACCCTAACCCCTAACCCTAACCCTGGTCATTAGTCGTGGTGCGCCCATATTAACCAGCCACCACTGTTAAAACATCACATGGCTATTTTCACCTCAACTAGGTGCTTTTGGTTTCCGTCTACAAGCTTCTGGTTGTATCTTTGACTGTCCTCTTGACAGAATTGGTGCAGTTCAAGTAAATTTGTTGACTTTCTGACACAGACGTGTTTCTTCATTACAGATCACAGGTTCTTGATGGTTTTAAATCAGGACTTTGGGGAGATGAGTCTAGACTCATCATTCTGGCTTAATTGATTCAGTTCTTTACTGTTTTCGATGCATTTGGGGTCATTGATTAGAAACACACAACTGCATCCAAGAACCAACTTTCTAGCTGATGATTTTAGTTTTTTTTCTAACAAATGTGATGGTAATCTACCTCCTTCATTATTCCATTTACTTTGTGTAAAGCACCAGTTCCATTGGCAGTGAGCAGCCCCAGAGCATGATACTGCCACCACCATGCTTGGCAGTAGGTTTGGTGTTCTTGGGCTAAAGGCATCACATTCTCTCCTCTCAACATAATTCTGGTCAGTGTGACCAAAAAGCTCAATATTTGCTCCATTGGGAAAGTAGTTAATGATGTGATTAAAATGCTGTTATGCAGAAATCTGAGTTTAATTACACAGAAACATGTCTTCAGCATTTGTTCCACAGTACAAAATGTAAAGTGAGTGATGTGAAAAGCCCCAAATCCACAGAGAAAGTGTTGATAAATTCATGTTTTGCAAATTATAGTAAAACATGATAAATTTTAAGTGAGAAAGTAATTTTGTTTAGCTTACATTGGGGAAATGCTTGGATTCAAATCACTTTCACCAAAGTAAAATGTGGATTTTACATCTATTGAAACATTTGTTGGACATTGAAATGAAAGTGAGTAGCTTTAAACTGTTGAAACTTCTGATTAGAACAGAAACTAATTTCTGACTTGTTGATTTGTTGAGTGTTGGATGTTTAACATTAAAACTAGAGGGGACAATAAAAATCATAAAACATCTGTGTTTCTGTGCTTCACAGTGAATTGTGTGTGTGTGTTCAGTGAACTGTGTGAGTCTCTGCAGTCAGTTCAGTTTCTGTTGAGTCTGCTTGAGTGAGGTTTTTGTACGACGGTTTCTCACTGTGTGAACATCTGCTTACTGTTGAGAGTTTTGATACACTGACAGTAATAAACTGCAGCATCTTCAGCCTGAACTCCACTGATGGTCAGAGTGAAGTCAGAGTTTGATCCGCTGCCTGTGAAACGTCCTGGAATTCCTGATGCTCGTCGATGAATGCCATAAATGAGCAGCCTGGGAGATTGTCCGTCTTTTTTTTGGTACCAGAATAAACAGGGGTAATAGGGTGATGATGATCCACAGTAACCATCAACATCATGACTGGTCCTACAGCTGATGGTGACGGAGCCTCCCAGAGCAGAGCTCACTGCTCCAGGCTGAGTCACTGTGACCTGACCTCTGGACTCTGAGGATACAGAGACACAAACAGAAAGCAG